ACTCAGACAGAGGCGGGGAGTTTTCCTCCGACCTCCTGAGAGCCTTCTGTCGTTCTGAGGGCATCCGCCAGACGTTCACGCTTCCGGCCTCCCCGCAGCAAAATGGGATTGCTGAGCGCCGCATTGGCATGGTCATGGACGTCGCTCGTACGTCTATGATCCATACGGCTGCTCCCCATTTTCTGTGGCCGTTCGCGGTTCAGTACGCTGCGCATCAGATCAACCTTCAGCCTCGTGTCTCCTTGCCGGAGACCACACCTACACTGAGGTGGACGGGGAAGGTTGGCGATGCGTCAGCGTTCCGAGTCTGGGGATCTCGAGCTTTTGTCCGCGATACTACAGCGGACAAGCTGTCCTCCCGTGCCGTTCCCTGTGTCTTCCTTGGCTTCCCTCCTGACGCACCCAGGTGGCAGTTCTACCACCCCACCTCGCGTCGTGTTCTGTCCTCTCAGGACGTCACGTTCGACGAGTCGGTGTCATACTACCGTCTCTTTCCCTACCGCACTGCCTCTTTCCCCCCCCTCGCCACTCTTCCTGGCACCAGGTACTCCCCTGGTAGACCCCCTCCCCCCCAAGGGTCCTGCCCCCTCGGGTGTGTCCCAGGTAGACCCTGCCGAGCCGGTCGAGGTAGCTGTCGACTCAGGTGCTGCTAGGGGTGCTGACCCTGCGGGTGCGGGGACTGGGGGTGCTGAGACTGGGGGTGCTGAGTCTGGGGGTGCTGAGACTGGGGGTGCTGAGTCTGGGGGTGCTGAGACTGGGTGTGCTGAGCCTGAGGGTGTGGCGCCTGAGGGTACTGTGTCTGGAGGTGCTGAGCCTGCGCGTGCTGAGTCTGGAGGTGCTCTAGGTGTCCCGTCGCGGCGGGAGCCCCTCTCTCCACAGCGGCTTCGTGAGTGGTACTCTCGGCGTTGTCGAGTTGCTGCTGGTGCTGCTGGAGCTACTAGAGGTGCTACTGGTGCTGGCGCTGTAGGAGGTGGTGCTGGTGCTGGAGCTGCTGGGGGTGCTGGAGGTGCTACAGGAGCAGCTGGAGGTGCTGGCGCTGCTGGGGGTGGTGCTGGTGCTGGAGCTGCTGGAGGTGGTGCTGGTGCTGGAGCTGCTGGAGGTGCTGCTGGTGCTGGAGCTGCTGGAGGTGCTGGAGGTGCTACTGGGGCTACTGGAGGTGCTGGCGCTGCTGGAGGTGGTGCTGGTTCTGGAGCTGCTGGAGGTGCTGCTGGTGCTAGAGCTGCTCGAGGTGCTGCTGGGACTGGAGACCCTAGGGCGGAGGGTACCGGCTCTGTCTCTGCTGTTTCTGGAGGCGCTGCGCGGCCGCGGCGGTACTACGTTCCGCTCCTTCAGCAGGTTCTTGGCTCCCCGCCTTCTCCTGGTCCTCCTCCTCCTTTCCTGTATCCACCGCCTGTCCAGTCCCAGTCGCAGTTGCAGCCGGCCTCTCCGCTGCCTGGTCCTTCTCCTTACCCTGGACCGACTAGAGGTCTTACGGAGCGTCGTGAGCCTGAGTCGCGTCCTGTGTCACCTGTGTCTCGCTCTGCGTCGCCTGTCCGTACTGTTCGCGTTGGTCGTGTTTCGCGTCCGCGTCATCCTCCTGTCCCGGGCACTCACTTGATGACACTGCGTCCTTCTACTGCTCCACAGCGTGTCCCTCTGCCGTCTCCTCCTGCGTCCTCTCTTCCAGACGGTCCGGACCCGGAGTCTGACTCCCTTCGTGCTGCTAGTCCTTCTGTCACGCGCTTTCTGGCCACTGCTGTTACTGACCCTCTGTTTGAGTCCACTGCTGCGTTTGCTCTTGTTACAGAGCTCGTTGACTTTGCTGCAGCCTGTCGCCTAGACTACGCCGCTAGTCTTGTTGCTGAGTCTGCGTCTGTCTGTCCTCCGTCCGTCGGGTGTGAGTGTGCTCTTGGCACGGACGTCCTTGAGGACAGACAGGAGGACCTTGAGTGCTTTGCCGCTGCTTCACCTCATCTCGTGTCCATGCTGCTTGCCCCTGAGGGAGACCCGGATGCACTAGACATCCCGACCCCGCGCTCTTACGCAGAGGCGATAGAGGCATGGACGCAGAGATGGCTTTCTGGAAGTCCACAGGCACCTACGTAGACGAGGTTCCCCCACCTGGGGCGAACATCGTCAGTGGCATGTGGATCTTCAGGGTAAAGCGGCCGCCGGTTTCTCCGCCTGCCTTCAAGGCGCGTTACGTTGCACGTGGCTTCAGTCAGCGACAGGGAGTTGACTTCTTTCAGACCTTCTCCCCTACCCCGAAGATGACCACTCTTTGGGTACTGCTGCACGTTGCTGCTCAACGTGATTACGAGCTCCACTCGCTTGACTTCAGCACAGCCTTCCTACAGGGCAGCCTCCACGAGGAGATCTGGCTGCGCCGCCCACCTGGCTTCACTGGGTCGTTTCCTGCTGGTACCCAGTGGAGCTTCCGGCGGCCAGTCTACGGTCTCCGCCAGGCACCCCGTGAGTGGCACGACACACTCAGGACGACTCTTGCTGCTCTTGGTTTTGCTCCTTCCACTGCTGACCCTTCTCTGTTCTTACGCACTGACACTACTCTGCCGCCGTTCTACGTTCTCGTGTACGTAGACGACCTCGTCTTTGCTACTGCTGACACTGAGGCACTCTCCCACGTGAAGTCCGAGCTGCAGAAGAGACACACGTGCACAGACCTGGGTGAGCTCACAAGCTATCTTGGCTTGCGGATCACCCGGGACAGAGCACAGCGCACCATTACCTTGACTCAGTCACACATGGTGCAGCAGGTCCTTCAGCGCTTCGGCTTCACGTACTCCTCGCCACAGTCCACTCCTCTGCCTACCGGTCACTCGCTCTCAGCTCCACCTTCGGACGAGTCCGTAGAGCCGAGTGGCCCGTATCCAGAGCTTGTGGGCTGCCTCATGTACCTGATGACTTGCACACGACCTGACCTCGCATACCCTCTCAGCCTTCTGGCTCGCTACGTGGCTCCCGGCAGGCACCGAAAGGTGCACTGGGATGCTGCGAAGAGGGTGTTGCGATACTTGTGCAGTACATCGGGCATGGGGCTCGTCCTTGGAGGACGGGCTCGAGTTGTCCTCACTGGTCACGCTGACGCCTCCTGGGTTGACGACTTGGCTACGCAGCGGTCGTCGCAGGGTTACACCTTCAGCCTTGGCTCCGGTTCTGTCTCTTGGCGGTCTACCCGCTCTTCTTCTGTTCTCAGCTCCAGTTGTGAGGCCGAGATCTACGCTGGGGCCATGGCTGCACAGGAGCTTCACTGGCTCACCTACCTGCTGACCGACTTGGGAGAGGCGCCTCGTTCTCCTCCAGTTCTGTACGTCGACAACAAGGCCATGTTGGCCTTGTGTCAGGAGCACAGACTGGAGCACAGAACGAAGCACATTGCTCTGCGCTACTTCCTTGCTCGAGAGTTGCAGCAGCGTGGCCAGCTTCATCTTGCTTACGTGGCCTCACAGGCCAACACTGCTGATGTTTTCACCAAGGCACTTCAGCCTTGTGATCATCAGCGTTTCTGTACTGTTCTAGGCCTTGTACCTACTGTGCCTCACTTGCTTACTTCTTGACTCTGCTTGTACTGTACTCTATACACTTATACCTGCATGCTTACGCTTGCTAGGTTGTGTTCACTGTATTGTTTGCTTTCCTTTATATAACTCCGCATGTGAACTGGCCTTGTGGCCCTTTGCTTGTGCTCAGACTGCGTGGTGACTTTGTGATCCACCCTGAGCTCGCTTTGTCTTTCTTGACTGGTCTTGTGACCTCTTGTTCTCCCCCACTTTGCCTATGGGGGTGTGTCAAACTTATATCTGCCATAGTCTGTTTAGGCTGTAGTGGGGTAGTTCCTAGAGGGTACAAGACTTTTGTGTTCTCTACTTGTACCCATCTCGTTCCTAGTTCATTCACACCTTCTCAATTCTCACAGCGATATCCCTCAATCTCCATGTTGATCCGTGTCCGCCCTTTGCTCGGGATGATGTTATCATCACCAAGGCGAATGGGGCAAGACATTCCTTCAACGAGGATCATGCGTGCTGTGACCCACTTTTCGTCAAAGAGGGAAACAGTTGCACCCGTATCAACAAGGATTTCTGCGTTTTCCCTGTTCGCGCTACCCGCAAGCAACAAATTTTGTTGATGCTTTGGGCGAATAGGACATGCCACAATATTCGTCGAAGGTTTGAAATACACCTTGACGTTGTGACGAGCACGTCCATGTGACTGGGAGTTGGTCCACCACACCTGGTGTCCTTTGTCCCACGCCGCCAGGACCGGCTATCCACGAAGCGCATGGAACAATTCGCCTTTCGATGTGCAAGTCACCAACGCGACCGAAGTCAGAGGGTGCTCTTAAGTGCAATGACTCACAATTTCAAGGACAGAAGGCAGAATGTCAAAGCCACAGAAAATAATTGAAAACTTATCCTGCATTGCTTCCATGGAAATTTTCTCAAGTGGGTACTATCGAGGATAAAAAACAGAAGTTTTATTAAATGAAGAGGCAAACAAAGAAGAGACTTTGCAATCAGCAAGCTTCTCTAGCTTTAATATATCATCATCAAGTAGCACATATGCCTCATCCACTCGATCTACTCCTCCAACTAGGTACCCACACCCTAGTTGGGCTTCGGAAAATCCTTCTTTCCAGAAGGTCCAGCGCCACTTGGCTTAGGCTTCCCAGAATACTTGATTGCGTTCTTGTCACGGCACTGCCTTTCAATGTGCCCCATCCTTCCACTGACTCTGCACTGCTTGTCGGAGAAGTCCGGCTCGTTAGGGCCATGACCTCCCCCTCCGTTAGGCCTCTTGGCCTGTGGGCCAGGCTGGTGATCACGCTGCTGGAAAGGCCGCTTGTTCCAACCGCCTCTGCCGTTGGCATTCTGGGGTTGGTTCCCACGACCACCAGAGCCCTCAGCACCGGGCTGCTGGTCCGGCTTTGCAGGACCAAAAATATACGTGCGAATGATGTTGTCAGTTTTGATCACCTGCTCCTTCATCTCCTTGTAAGTCGTCTAATTGGTCATGCCACCGGTCATGTGTGCCTGCTGCAGCTTGACAGGGAGGCCTTTCATGAAGACGTGCATCATCTCCTCCTCAAACAAGGGCTTCTGGAGCAAGCGTGCTGCGGCCTCAAACTCGACCGCATATTCCTGCACCGAACGGTCACGACACTTGATACTCTCAAGGCGTCCGCGCAGTTCCAGGTCGGACTTCTTGACCATGAATGCCTCTTTCAACGCGGTGCAGAACTCCGGCCATTCAAACGGTCCCTGCGCCTGCTTCTTAGCGCCATACACTGCCCTGCGGGCCACCTCGTCCAATGCCCGAGTGGCTGCAGTAACGCGAGCCTCAGGACGCACATTCTCAAGGGTCATGGTGTCATTCACCAAGTCAAGCCAAGGCTGCACCTCTGTCTTGCTATGGTTAAACTCAGGCAGAGGCGCCGAGAGAGATCCAAAGGGCAAAGTCTCGGTTCGAGGTGGCTGATGCACAGCCGTTGCAGTGCCTACCGGCGGAGGTGCAGGCGGAGCGGGTGCCGGCTGAGCAGCAGGAGCGGGCCTACGCCCAGGAGGAGGCTGGTAAATGCCCTCCCTCCTAAGCTCCCTCAACTGCTCATGGAGCTTGGTGAGTGACGCTTGCATATTATTGCAATTATCCAGAAGATCCTCAATTTGGCGACTTTTAGTGGCCAGGCTGCGACGGAATTGGCAAGCCTCTTTCGTGACAACGCCCAACTCAGCCTTAAGCTTGTTAGTCAGCTTTGTGAGTCCATCAATGGACTTCTGCTGCTGCAGGATGGTGATATTCTGAGTTGACACTTTAGCCTGGAGTTGGACAATCTCCTCTGAGATATGATTACTCATGCCTTCACCCTCAGTGAAGTCATTTTCATCACCAGTGTTCTCCTTTTGACCGGTGTTGTCCTCCTCCCCATTATTATTAGCTTCACCATGGTTATCAGCTTCACCATGGTTATTAGCTTCAACATGGGTATCAGGTTCAACATAGTTAACCTTATCTTCCGGGTCCAGGTTCTCAATGTCATCTAGCTCAATGTCAGCCATTGCCTCATCTTGATTGAGGTCAATCTCAGCAGCATTGTTCACCACCTCATTAGGTGCAGTGGGCCCTTCCTCCCTTGCAATGTCCTTCTCTTGGCCAGATGCTATAAGGATTAAGGGAGGTTTAGAGATCTGGGTTGATTCTGTGAAAATCCTTTTACCACCTCAATGGTAAAGCAAGAAATTATTATAAAAAAAAGTTATTCTATAGAATAACTCAAGGTTACCAAAGGTAACAGATTTGTTGCCAACACTCCCAATCCATAAAAAAAAAAAAAACAGTTGGTATATACTGGCCATGTTCAGACCTTTGTAGGGTTGGGAACAACCTTGTTTAAAGCCCGATTAAAAAAAAAAAAAAAAAAAAAAAAAAAAAAAAAAAAAAAAAAAAAAAAAAAACACACACACACACATATAGTTTGCCTCTCGAGCCCATAGTTTGACTCCTGAGCCTTTCTGGTTACCATATATCATGCAGAAAACCCACTCACAAAATTGTAGGGCAGAAAATGTTGCGCCGTGATCGTCGTAACCACCCCCTGTCCGAACATTATAGCTTATACAGTTGTGTAGGCTGTAGTGGGGTAGCCCATAAGGGGTACAACCCAATTAGGGTTAGTACTTGTACCCAACTCTTTCATAGTTCATTCATTCTCGTTCATTAGTTTAACATGGAATCAGAGCAGGTTCCTTGGGCCCACCACCTGCTACGCTGCTATTAACCACCCCTAGGCCCATCGCTCCTAGCCTACGCGGCCCGTCGACCCCTAGCCCGCGCCCGGCCCCGTTCCTAGCTCGCGCCCGGCCACGTCGACCCTTAGCCTCGCGCCCGGCCTCGTACCTAGCCCGCGCCCGGCCCCGTACCTATCCTCACGCCCGGCCGCGTATCGCGCCCGGCCCCGTTTCGCGCCAGGCCCCGCGCTCGGCCCTGTATCGCGCTCGGCCCTGTACCTAGCATAGAGCCCGGCCCCGTATCGCGCCCGGCCCCGAATCGCACCAGGCCCCGTCTCTAGCCTAGCGCCCGGCCCCGTCTCGCGCCTGGCCCCGTATCGCGCCCAACGTCCAGCCCCGTTCCTAGCCTGCGCCCGGCCCCGTATCGCGCCCGGCCCTGTATCGTGCCCGGCCCTGTACCTAGCATAGCGCCCGGCCACGTATCGCGCCCGGCCCCGAATCGCACCAGGCCCCGTCTCTAGCCTAGCGCCCGGCCCTGTCTCGCGCCTGGCCCCGTATCGCGCCCAACGCCCGGCCCCGTTCCTAGCCTACGCCCGGCCCCGTTTCGCGCCCGGCCCTGTTTCGCGCCCGGCCCCATATCGCGCCCGGCCCCGTTTCACGCCCGGCTCGTACCTAGCCCGCGATCGGCCGGTACCTAGCCCCGCGCCCGGCCCCGTCTCTCGCCCGCGCCTGGCCCGTACCTAGCCCAGCGCCCGGCCCCATTCCTAGCCCGCGCTCGGCCCCGTCACTCGCCCAGCGCTCGGCCCAATACCTAGCCCCGCCCGGCCCCGTACCTAGCCCCGCCCGGCACCGTCCCTAGCCCCGCCCGGCCCAGTACCTAGCCCCGCCCGGCCCCGTACCTAGCCCCGCCCGGCCCCGTACCTAGCCCCGCCACGGCCCCGTACCTAGCCCCGCCCGGCCCCGTACTTCGCCCCGCCCGGCCCCGTACCTAGCCCCGCCACGGCCCCGTACCTAGCCCCGCCCGGTCCCGTACCTAGCCCCACCCGGCCCCGTACCTAGCCCTGCCCGGCCCCGTACCTAGCCCCGCCCGGCCCCGTACCTAGCCCCGCCCGGCCCCGTACCTAGCCCGCGCCCGGCCCCGTACCTAGCCCGCGCTCAGCCCCATACCTAGCCCGCGCCCGGCCCCGTACCTAGCCCGCGCCCGGCCCCGTACCTAGCCTGCGCTCGGCCCCGTACCTAGCCCGCGCTCGGCCCCGTACCTAGCCCGCGCCAGGTCCCGTACCTAGCCCGCGCCCGGCCCCGTACCAAGCTTGCGCCCGGCCCCGTCCCTAGCCCACGCCCGGCCCAGTACCTAGCCAGCGCCCGGTCTACTGTCCCTGCTGCTCCTGCTACAGCTGCTACTGCTACTACTATAGCTGCTACTGCTGCTCCTACGTACTACACAGCTATGGCTTCGCTTCGTGTCCTCGCGTTTGACCATGAGGGCAGACCGGTTCAGTTTGACACGTGGCTAGACGACCTGCAGCTGTACCTCCTGAGCGATTCTAAGGACAGTTTCTCGCTTTTTGACCTAGCGTCAGGAGCTGCTACTGCCCCTCCCGCCACAGCTGACAGTTCGACTCGCTCACAGTGGCTTACTCGAGATGCTGCTGCTCGTTTAGCCATCCGCAACCACCTGACATTAGCTGAGTGCGCTCACTTTGGACAGCACAGGACAGCACAGGCACTGTACGACGCTGTTGTCACTCGCTACTCCTCCCCTGCCACTGCTGCTCTAGGCTGCCTCCTTCTGCCCTACCTGTTCCCCGAGCTGTTCGCCTTTGCCAAAGTCGAGGACCTGGTTTCCCACCTTCGCGCTAGTGACGCTCGCTACCGCGCTGCCGTTCCTGCTGAGTTCCTTAACAGGAACCCGCCCCCGATGTACATCACTCTCTACTTTATAGTCACCCGCCTCCCTGACTCTCTTCGCTCTATCACGGACCACTTCCTCTCTCTTTACCCCACCTCCCTCACTATTGACCTCCTCGAGCAGCATCTCCTCGTAGCTGAGACTAGTGCAGTTGCTATGGGTGCTGCTCGGGGCGCCCGCCCTTCTTTGAGGGGTGTTCCCCCTCCCCCCTTGCCCCCTCCTACGCCTCTACTACTGCTGCAGACGTCTCTATTGCTGAGGACGTCGGGGCTGCTTTTGCTAGTGCGAAGCGCCGCAGCAACAAGGGCAAGGGTGGCCGGGGTGCTGGTGGTGGCAGCGGCGGTGGTGGAGGTGGCAGCGGGAGTGGAGGAGGGGGCAGCAGTGGAGGTGGTGGCGGCGGTGGGAGTGGTGGCGGCGGTGTGAGTGGTGGCGGGAGTGGGGGCTCTGGTGGCGGTGGTGGAGGCAGCGGTGGGAGTGGCGGCAGCGGAGGCGGTGGGACTGGTGGCGGTGGGACTGGCACTCGGCGTGTCGGTTCTGGGGGTGGCCAACGTCAGCAGCAGCAGCGTCGGAGCGAGACCCTGTCTCCCTTCGCAGCTTCGTGAGTGGTTTCTGCGTGGGTCATCTGGGGGTAGTTGCCCGTATGTCATTCGCACGGGTGACCCTGCTGGTCAGACTTGCGGGCGGCTCCACACTTAGCACCGCTGCTTTTCCCGCCTCGACCACGCTTGGCGTGCTGTGTTTGGTGACAACGTCGAGCTCCCTCGCTGGGCAAATCTGCTTAAGTCTAGGATTGCTATCTTTGACCTAGACTTTGATGCTATTCTCTCTGCTATGTATGCTTTGTCTGTTAGTGTTGAGGGTGACTGTTACCGGTGTGTGCCGCCTGACCCAGGTATAGCCACTGCTGCTCTAGGTGCTAGTGAGTCTGGTACTCTCCCTGGTACTGCGCCTGCTCAGGCCTTACACACCTTCACGTTGGACTCAGGCGCCTCGCGCTGTTTCTTTCGTGACAGCACCACCCTCACTCCTCATCCTGCACCTGTCCCGGTTCGGCTGGCTGACCCCTCCGGGGGACCGGTCGTGGCCCTTTCCTCCACTGTCCTCCCGTGTCCAGCGGTTCCGTCCGGCTCACTGTCAGGTCTTCACCTCCCCTCGTTCTCTACGAACTTGGTGAGTACCGCTGCCCTTCAGGATGCGATGGTCACTACCACCACTCCTGGGGGTCAGCGTGTGTCGATCTGCACGTGCACACAGACGGGGCGTCACCTGGCCACGTTCACTCGTCGGCCAGGTTCGAGTCTGTACACGCTGGCTGACAAGCCTCCTCAAGTTGCTGCGTCTGCTCAGGTGTCCGCGTCAGGTCAGGTAGCCGCCTCTTGCTCGTGTCGCCTCCTGTCGTACCAGATTCTTCTTTGGCACCACCGCCTGGGTCACCCCTTCCTGCCACGTCTTAGTGGCATGCACTCTTGTCTCCTTGTCTCTGGTCTTCCCAGGTCTCTGCCTCCCCTCCCGCCCTCGCCTGCCCCGCCTTGCCTCCCTTGCGTCGAGGGGCGGAAGTCCGCCATTCCTCACTCCTCCTCGTTTCCCCCGACGACTGCTCCCCTGCAGACTCTCCACATGGACGTGTGGGGCCCAGCCCGCGTCAGTGGTCAGGGCCGCGAGTGCTACTTTCTGCTGGTCGTTGACGACTACACGCGGTACACCACGGTCTTCCCTTGCGCAGCAAGGGTCAGGTCGTTGATGTCTTGATCCCTTGGATCCGCACTGTCCGTCTTCAGCTCCGCGAGCGCTTCGGAGAGGACCTTCCTGTCCTGCGTCTGCACTGTGACAGAGGTGGTGAGTTCTCCTCCGACCTCTTGCGGGACTTTTGTCGTGGGGAGGGCATTCTCGAGTCGTTCACGCTTCCGGACTCCCCTCAGCAAAATGGGATTGCTGAGCGCCGCATTGGCTTAGTCATGGAGGTCGCTCGTACCTCCATGATCCATGCGGCTGCTCCCCATTTTCTGTGGCCGTTTGTGGTCCGGTACGCTGCGCATCAGCTCAACCACTGGCCCCGTGTCTCCTTGCCGGAGACCTTGCCCACACTGCGTTGGACGGCGGAGGTTGGCGATGCGTCAGTGTTCTGGGACTAGGGATCTCGTGCCTTTGTTTGCGATACGTCCGCGGACAAGCTCTCCCCTTGTGCTATCCCCTGCGTCTTCCTTGGCTTTGTCCCTGACGCGCCTGGCTGGCAGTTTTACCACCCCACCTCGCGCCGTGTCCTCCCGTCTCAAGACGTCACGTTCGACGAGTCGGTTCCCTTCTACCGGCTCTTCCCCTACCGCTCTACCCCTCCCCCGCCCTCGCCGCTCTTCCTTGCTCCCGGTCCCCCTCCGGTAGACCCCCTCCTGCCCCAAGGTCCTGCTCCCTTAGGTGTGTCCCA